ATTCTGCATGTCTTTTATGGAACAATCTGCCTTTTGATATAAAGATGTGTAAAAATGTTGAAAATTTTAAGATTAAACTGAAAACTCATTTATTTTGCACACAGAAGGAACCATAATATTCAACTGATGACATACTTATTATTTTTAACTTGCGACTGCATTCTATCTTATTTTGTGTGTAATTATAGTGTTCTTCCTATATTCTACTTGTATAATGTATATGTTTTGTAGTTTGGGAGTTCGGGAGTGACTTCCCAAACTCCCCACTTTAAAATGCTATTGCATTTCAAATTATTTTGAATTTATCCTGATATTACATGTATATATGTCTTTGTAGCTTAGGAAAGACCTATGGAAGATTAGTTTTTTTGTTGTTTTTTTTTTGCAAACTAAATACGTTGCCTTATTAAATAAAGTTTTTTATTATTATTATTATGAGACACTGCTGACTAGAATTAAAAATCTTATTTTCTAAGCACACACTCTAATTATGCAGTGATTTTGAAAATTATTTCACTACAAAGACCATAGGACGCAGGTCATATATAATATAATATATAGTTGCGCCTGACACACTACAATATCTCTAAAAACATCGTGGGGTAACAGCGCAAAGCTGGCAATCTGCGCGCCAGCTTCATAAGCGCAGTTTGCAATCTGCGCAGGACGACAGCGCAGATTGCAATCTGCGCGAGGGGTGAAGATTGTGCCTAACATAGCTTTTATCGAGGGTACAATACGTTAGTGTGTTCATCAAGCTGTTATGTCGATTGATAACGATAATAACTACATTTAAAAGCACTGACTCTTGAATTACGTTAGCTAATACTTAAAGGAGCTAAATCGCTAATATTTTGGACCTAGAAATTGGCACAAATGAGTCGCAACACATATAATAATGTAATATGAATTTATATAACTGATTTACATTCAATCGTGTCCGTTTTACTGTGAATTGTCATCAGTTATGTTCGGCGAAATACGCCTAAGTCTCAACCGCAAGACAGTTTCTAGCGTCTGGTTATTCCAGTCAACACCGATATTATTTATTGCGCATGCTCTCCAAATAAGAATATGATATCACCGTTTGACATGACTCGTGTACCAATGGTAAAATGTTTATTTTGTCTTAAATATTGGATATCAGAAGCCCATCACCAATGCTGATTTAAATTGCAAAATAAATCCTGTTTTCAAGGTCGAAATGTGGGTTTTTTTCTCGAGCTTTTGCTGAGCCGTAATCCCATTAGAGCATAATATAACTAACAGGTTAATTTATGCTTGTCTAGATAAACAAGTATTCTTTAATTGAAATGATGCAATTTTATAGTGTTACCAGTTATGTTAATTTTTCCAATAAGATAAGAGACCTATTACTACCCCATTCGCTAAATGCATAAAACTTGAGAAGTCTTGGAGCAATCTCCACTTTGATAGCATAAATTATAAGTACATGGCGTATTACTGTCATGGGACTTGTTCACTACCATAGGCGAGCACTAACGCATTATTATCAATTGTCAAACAATTTCTTTTACATGTATTTAAACTGTCTTAGCGAGTACAGTAGTAAATTGATTTACAACAATCCAAAAGTGCTTGATAACGGTGAGAGTAACCTCATTGAAACGTTGCAGTATTGCTTGATAACGGTGAGAGTAACCTCATTGAAACGTTGCAGTTAATAAACCTAGTGAATGTCATCCATAAAGCTGTCTGTTATTATATAAATTGTACAATTACAATTATTATAATAATTCCGATTAGTCGCTAAAACTTATAGTTTATTCAGCTTTTAACGTTATTTTATCTGGATTATCGCCCTTTTTATTGTGATTTTTTTGTCACCTTCTAAGATATGACGTCATTGCCAAAATAACGGCTTTTTTACGTCACGCCACTCAGTCAGCAGACGGCTGTCTTTCCAGACAGTCGACATTCATTATTTGCTTCTTTGTTTTCAGTTCTGTTTTGTTTTGTTTTTTGTGACGGATGTAACATGTGCCCTAAATGTATTCAATATACCGTACCTCGATTCCATTGAATACCGAAACGTTTCTTGATTGATTTAGAGCATTTAGGTTTAGACTACTTTTTTTTATATACATTTAGGCCTATAATAATAATCATACCTATTTTCTAGAAGTTGTCCTAATGTTATCACTGAACTTTTTGGAAAAACTCTCTCTGGCTATCTACTCGACCTCTCTAGTCCGCCATCTTTGTCAGTATTTTCACATTTATTTGTACAATATTGTTTTTCAAAAAGCGAAAAGAATTTCGTTCTTTGTCCCTACGCTACACTTTGTGATTAGGGTGACCACCCGTCCCGCAAAATGTTTCCAAGTCCCGCGTCCCGAAAACCAGCCAAAATGTCCCGCAATAGCTCACATGGAAGACTTCTATTACAGTAATATGCGTTAATCTAGTCTCGCGATAGTCTATTTGAGTATTGGTCTGGTCAAAATACTGACAGACCCACCACAAATTGCTTTAGAAGGTTTTTTGGTACCAAGTTGTACATACTGAAAATCCACTGGCGTGGTTCCCCCTTGTCACTGGTGCAGGACAACGTATACTCATTCGGATGAGACGTAAAATAATTCTTGGCAGCTGGATTAGCGCTGGTCCCGGGCAGAATTTCCCTTATCTATAGGACACGATATGGCGTATGCCTGTCTTCATTAGCCCAGTCGGACGTTAAACCCCATTTCGTTTACCTTTAACTCAAAGAAAGAAATGTTTTAATGTTATAAACATAAGAAATTGAAAATATTGCTCGCCGCCATGACAAAAATCAACGAATATAATTTATATAACAATGACACCCATACCCTTCTCTTGCACTACAACTACAACAACTACCCGACAACACCACGACCGCCTCCATACTCCAAGAAAATAAAATTAAATAAATATTTTTAATCCACATCTTATGTTAAAAAAAAATATATTGTAAAATCTCAAATACCAGTAGAAATCTCAGTTTTAAGACAAAACATTTTCTAAAATCTCCAGCTATTCACTTACATATTGCAACTTGGAAAACGTACTTTTTCGTATGCTGGACCTTTATTATAGAATAAACAGCCAAAGCCAATTATTGTCAGTGGGCCATTTCAAACTCAAAACAGTCGACGGAGAGAGAGAAGAGAGAGAAACAGACACTATAATTTGATTGCACATAAGGTCGTTAGCTATGGGGGAAACCAATGGAGCAGGAGAAAATCCACGAGTTTAGACGGCGAATCTATTCCTTGTGACGTACAAGTGGGTAATCGAAACCACGCAAGTTGACTCAATGACAAAACTTAACCAATCGGGCAACCTCCACCCCACCCCCTTACCCAAAGAATAATAAAGAATCACAGCAACCGAGAATATTAGCTGACTACTGTGGCATTTGCCGTGACCGAACGCCATGCATTTCTATTTTATGGAAAGCTATTGGAGGACGATGGGTGCATCGAATTGCTTGTTCCTTTATTTGAAGGTGGGGATGGATGGTCGAATGGTTAGCATGTGCGCGCTGTATCAAAAGGTATGTTATTGAGTCAACTGGCGTGGTTTCGATTCCCTGGTTGTACGTGACAAGGAGTATAGTCACCTATCCAACCTTGTGGGTTTTCTCCGGGCTCCCCGGTTTCCACCCACTGCTAAATACCACTAAAACGCGCATGCAAATTATTGTAATAGAATTGAACCATGTATTAGTCCGGAAATGACCTAGTTTGTATAGAGTGCACGTTAAACCCCATTTCCCCCCCCCCCTCTCTCTCTCTCTGTCTCCTTTATTTCAATCTATATTATATACTTGATTTTATTGAGTATCATTTGAATTCGCTTTCGCTTTATCGTCTTTGAATTATTCAAATTCAAATATATCTATTGATGTATAACATGATGGTGTAAAGGTATCTTGTATTATTAAAAAAGCATGACCACGGTGGTCACTCGGGGAAAGTTAAAGATGCATATTTCATAAGATTTAGATAAAGAGCCGACAGTTCTCACAATAATAGTTTAAAAAATAGATAATGAAAGGGGAATATGTTTAAAGTTTCAGTCAAGTTACTTCATTCTGAGAGGAGTTATCGTCGTTTACAGAAGAGCTTAGTCTCGATGGTCATTTTTGAATTAAATCATAAATCTGTTAAAAATCAAAACCGTCCGAAGTTATGGAGAGTTGATTATGGGCCTGGTATGTAAATACATTAATTTTTTATAGAACATTTGAGGTCAAAGGAACGATCTGCAATATGCAAATTTAGCTCTAAAAAATGTATCTTTAACCAGCATAACATCCTTTATACCCAGTTATTATAAAATCTCAATATGTTTCACAACATTCAGCATGGTTAAACATTAGCGATAAAATCTCAAAACGTTTCACTACCTTCCGCATAATTTAATTTTAGCGATGAACGATTAATGTACATGGATGATAATTTGGCAGCCATTTGACTGTGACTCAAAAATTTCATTCAACTTCACGTATTCTTTGAAACGGTTCAGTCGCAAAAATTAATAATTTATGTATTTTGTTTGAAACAAAGGTATTTTTACAGCTACAAAAAAAATTGTGTTCGTTTTTTTGGAAATGCAAGATGATACTGATTTCATACATGGATTACAGATACAAAGCAGGCTGATATGAATATTATATGACTTGTTGCTTTGTATTTATATTTATTTATATTGTTGATATGTTTATCCTAAAAAATTCGTGATAAATATCATATGAAATACAAAGACAAACCACGCTTGTGTGAAGATTTCATAGTTTGATTGTCTATTGTTGCTATGTTGAAAAGTAAAGTAACTATAAATCAACATTGTTATGCATACTGCCTCAGTGTTTTGTTTTTATAAAGATAATGTCCCGCAATATGATCAAACAAAGATGGTCACCCTATTTGTGATACGGATTCTTATTAGAAGTGGTTATGCCTTTTGCTTGTATGATTTAACTGTTTTGTGGAAGAAAGCAGTGTACTAACCTAGTTTTGCTGATCTGATATTTGTGCAATAAGCGATAAATCTCAGTTGCCATAAAAACCACCATGAAAATTCTTTCTGTTTGCTCCTTAAATACATAAAAATAAATGAATGAATGAATAAAATAATGTTAAATGGCAAGTCGGGCTATATTGCGCGAAACATATGATGATGTGACAAATAATCACAATATGTATAGGATATTAACCTACGCGAGGTTGAAATGATAGAGAACATGCGGGCACAATACCAATCCGAGGGAGAGTAGGTTTATATCCGACATATAAAATGCCGTTCTTTATTTTCTAGCAAATTATTATCGGACCAGTTGAGTTTATATAAGGTGAATACCCTAAATTTTCCCTTTCCACATGTATCTAAGTGTTCACTTAGTGGAATCATTCTATTTTTGGGATTAGCAATGTGGGATCTGTGTAGGTTTATCCTTATGTTCAGTTGTGATTCGGTTTTGCCTATATACTCTTCATTACAACATGGACATATAATCAAATATATAACATTTTTACTTTTACAGGTCATAGATTGTTTAACTTTAAAATGTACATTTACATTAATTTTTACTGTTTTCCCTTTAATAATGATGTCACAAGTTTTACATCTATTGTCCCCACACTATGTGACAGTCGATTCTGTGACCTTTATATAATATATATAAGCATAACTGGCGATTTCGGCGTTCATCGTATCAAAACGTTTTCGCTCAGTGGAGCTCCTCAGTGTGTATACAATGTCTATAACTGTATTATGACGTCATTTTCTATTTGTTATATTATGACGTCTTACATAGCTTAAAGGGACATAAATTAGCCATGTGTATACAGTGTTATAAGTTAGCATTTAAATCAGGTTGTAAAATTTCAATTAGTTCTTTTTCTTTCATTTCCCGTTGTTTTCTGTTTGTATTGAACAGGGCGTAGATGGGGATGATTTTAAAGTTTCCATTATTACACTCTGCCATATGGTGGCTTACTGGTAAATGTCTGTATTTCTCATGTGTTATCTGTTCTCTGTATTTTTCATGTGTTATCTGTTCTCTGTGTAATGTTACTCTTTTTCGCAGATCTTCAGTTTGGCCTACGTAGAACTTTCCACACTTTTCACAGAGTAAGGCATAAATCACATTTTTCGATTTACAGTTCATTTTGGATTTTACTATCCATGTCTTCCCATTCTTAAATTTGAAAGATTCGCATGCATCAACATTTGGTATTTCTTGTGTGGTACTGAATGCTGCCTTAGTTAGATATTTTTTCAAGTTCTTTGGTTGTCTCTAGCTGACGATAAAATTGTTCTGTGAGAGGATATTATTCATTTTTTCGGATCCTCTTAAAATATTCATATTTCCTCTAATGTTATTTTTACTGACGATGAACGCCGAAATCGCCAGTTATTCTTTTTTATATATAATTATCTTGTGATTTTAAAAGTAACTTTTTTAATATATATGAGATAAAGGACCAATTTCAGATCTGAAATCTGTTTTATAAAAAATTGTCCGTTTACTGAAACAATATCACTCAACACAGACTAAACACATTGGATGAACATATTCCAAGAATTGGTTGCGATTTCGCTGAAGATTCAGCAGCATGACGAAATGGTGTACTCGTTTGAAAAACTTGGGTCTTTCAAGCTAACACACAACTCATAAGATCCACCAATATCATCAGGAATATCTATGACCAACACAGCAGAAGGCACAATTTTAAACTTTGTAAAATCATGGTCAGATGCTGTAAAATCTCCGCCCCCCCCCCCCGCCTGTACAATCATCTGACGTCCACGTTGTACTCAGGCAACTGGTGAACCAAGTTCACTCACTTCTATATGACACTTGTCGTCTATTGATAAAAAAAAGTACCCGTTTCTCTGTATTTCATCAAAAATTCACTGAGATGGCGAAATACTATGTTTGCATAGTGCGAGTCTATGTGTTCACCGCGAAGTTAGCAAGTTTGAATTCTATACCTGAGGTTAAAAACTCCAGTGTAATGGACGGTTGAGTGAAAGTGTTTATTCTTTGGCCAACACTGAAAGTGCATGTATTGCTCTGAAGGAATTGGTGCTGGAGAACCCAGGGTTTTTGTTACCTGAGAAATAAAATCTCGTATTGAGATGGTAACAGCTAATCTACCAATTTCTTCATGACGCTGTTCTTGTGCTGCACTGATGGAACTTTGATTAATAAATTCAACAGTTTCAAAAAGGGGCTCATATTTTCTTGTCTGCCCAGAATTCAATTCTCTCAAATCGACTGCAAGGTCTGGATTTTCACTTTCTAAAAATAATTTTAATCTGTTTCTGACATCAGAATTTTCCACATTAGGGGTTGCTGACATATCACCGGTTAGATCTTGGTAAACTTCTTGCATAACAGTTGAAAAACTGCATTTCTTTAGATTCATTATAATACGCCCATAGTGTTCTATAAATTTTCTTTTCATTACTCTGTTGTGATATTTCTTTTAATAACTTTCTTCATTTCATGTGGAATTTTCATCGAGAACCCCACATCACGCTTCTCATGTAAATTTGGAACTTTCCAAATGAACCAGATTTTCTCATTCCCCTGTGAACACCAAATGATTTCATGTGAAAACGGCAAACAAATATCATTTAGATATTTTTATTTACGTTTGGTTTCTGTTGGGGCGTATTCACTTAGACATACTGGTTGGTATTCTTCTTCATTTTGAAGGGTACTTTCATGAGCTTTTTATCTACTGATCAGTGACAGTGGTCGAAGAAAACTGGCTGTACCAGAAACGAGACTGCTTTTACCGGACGGTGTTATCAATCCATGTCGCTGTTGAGTTTTTAAATTTTTTTCTGTTAGATATAATGAATATTTTCCGATTGAGTCCGCAAGTTCTTGTACAGAAGTTTTCAGTTCATGAAATCGTTCCGACTGCATAAATGGTGATAAAACTAATTCATATAATTTATTACTGTACTCTTCTAATGTTCCCTGACTAAGTTGTTTTAAACCGAGTTTACTTTTTTCAGGTTGATTATATATCTGTGATGATAAATCACGATGGTCATTGAATAAAAAAATCTGTTAGATTAATATGCACATGTGAAAACTCTTCAAAATGTGGGAAAATATTATACAGTACAGTTATTAAAATCTTCACAGAACATGTCCCTTTAACAAAATTTTTAATTTGTGAAAAACATCTATTTTATCAACAAGTCTATCAGATCATTGTACAATTTATAATCCCCCCTGACAAGCATTTTCTTGGTTGGATATTTTTTCCCTTGACATCAGCTTGTGACCCTTTTTTAAGCATATCAAATGCATTTTTTTTCATTTTCAGGACTGTTTTCATTTGGAGTAATGGCTTGAGATTCAGCGTCGTCGTTTACTACCGGTACTACCTTAATTTGAATATATTTACCAAATGTGTCGGTGACCTGTCCAACATTTAAATTTGACGCAATTTGACTGATGTTTTGATCTTCCTTCGATTTTCCTCGCCTGCTGGCAAATCCCTTTTAAACAGGTTTTGGGGTACTATATTATCATTCACGCTGTACGCCGACTCGACAATGTCGTCAAAAGTAAAATTATACCGCACACCAATGACTGTCCAGTCAAGAAATATCGTTGCTTTCCGACATATTTTGAGCGAAACTATCAGTCCATACCCTCCGCCAGACCCTGCCATGCTGATTTTTCACAAGCCATGACTCGCCTGAGGATCGCTTTTTCATTGGTTAATATCGATATAAGATTACACGTTTCCTGTCACTTTCATCCAATAAAGATAGGTTGCCAGGCAACAAAACATAAGCCCACAGCAGCTAAATCGTCCGGCAGTCGACAAGGGTTGTCGCATATTTATTCTTTTGTAGGTAATTAAGGGAATTTAATACACAATTTCATACAGATGACATTATAATTTTCGCCGTTTGAGGGTTCACAAGGTTCTAAAAACTAAAACATGGGCTGTAACTCTGGAAGTAATCTACGGAAATTGTTGAAATTCGACAGGCTTTTTCGTTTTACTAATTCAAATAACGCATATAAATTTCATACAGATCGGATGATAACTTTTGTCGTTCGAACGTTCACAAAGGTTCAACAAAGTAAACAAGGGCCATAACTCTAGAAGTAATTGATGGAAATTGCTGACATTCAATAGGCTTCTTCATTTCACTAATTATGATGATGCATATGAATTTCATACAGATTAAGTGATAACCTTTGTCGTTCAAGCGTTCACAAGATAGGCTTGTTCGTTTTACTAATTTAAACGATACATATAAATTTCGTACAGATCGGATAATAACTTTTGTTGTTAGACAATTCACAAGGTGCAACAAAGTGAAACAAGGGCCATTACTCCAAAAGAAATTAACGGAAGTTAATGCAAACAACATATATCAATTTCAAAAGAATCAGATGATAAATGTAGTCTGTAGAGTGTTCACAAGAAATTGTGGACGATGGACGCACAGACCGACAGACGGACGGGGGCGACGGCAATATACGACCACATTTCCATGTGGGAGTATAAAAAGTAGTCTTACTTTACGATTTAGACGTTAGCATGCCGGCATTGATTTAAGATCCGTATTTTCATTGGACGATATTATCAAAATTACACGCCTCTGGCTAATGAAAGGCAATGTTACATTATCTACGGTATACCAAAGCCTAACTATGTATAATCGATGGCTATAGACCTGAACCGCCATACTATGAACTTGTAAACATACAGAGATCGCTTATTAGGTTAAAAATTCGTATTTTTTATATTTTTATTTTGTGTTGAGAATCTGTGCGGGCGATTTTCGTGTCCCAATTCCTAAGCGCGCGGGCGAGAAGATACAGGGTATCAATTTTACATGGCCTTATATAATGGACAAACAAGTTCGTCTTCAACGTAATTTTTGTTTGATGTAATTAAACAATATTTACACACTCTATCAGTATAATCCATATGTTCTGCCATCTACCCGACTTCATAGCTAAATTGTAATCACAACGAAATCCTGTTCTATATTTACTAATAATGATTTGTACTGACAATAATTAACTAGTTTTGAATTGGATACTGATCACTATTAAACGTTGCTTGAATTGGTCTATGAAAGCTCTATTACTACCGACTGATTGCTGTTCCCAAACAAATCCAAATTCATATTGATATAATAAAGCTCGAATATTTGAAGCCGATGTTATTCTTCCAGCATTATCTAAAGAAACTAACAAATCATAACATGCTCTTGAAAATCTGCTTTGTGGCATTTTTATTAGCTGTAACCAATATTCGATACAGTTTGTTTGGTATATAACACTAAGAGGTCTTCGACCAAGCTCACCATAAATTCCAGCTTTAGAGTTTACTTGCAGAATATATTTACAGAAATACTAATATTACACATACTGATAAGTATTTTTAACATGTTACAAGCTTTCCTTGCTTGTTGTACTAAGGTGTTTGTAGCAAGTGACCAATAGAGTTTAGGCGTAAACATTATCCCTAAATATTTATACGAGGATACAACATCTAAATTGGTATTCCCATACATCTAGGTTTCCCATTTTTTTAAAAACAATACTGCCACGTCTAAATACAACGATCTTAGTTTTACTTAAGTTGACACCCATTCCAAGATGCAATTGATTTGCGACTGGAGACGTGCAACAGTGTCTGTGACACTTGCAATGTCATCGGCATACATTACGGAAACAATATTAGCAACATCAGTATTAACAAATATACCTTGACAACCATACTGAATGAAAATTTCATCGAGTTCATTAAGAAATAAAACAAACATCAAAGGGCTGAGCATGCAACTTTTTCTAGTTCCTATTTTATTATTATTATTACAGCATATTTATAGTGCGCCCTTTCACATAACATGTTCAGGGGCACTTTACAAAGTGACAATGTAATCATACATAAACAAATAATTCTTAAAAGAAACTTAAAATTACTACATTGGACACATGATTTGTCATTCTCGTACATAAGATTTTATAACCTTAAAAACTTTACCGTTTATATTGTTTTTTTAGAAGAACATATTTATTTTTTGAATTAACGCTTGTAGTGTAAAAATGTGATCTACTGTGCTAAAATCTTTTCTGTAACCAGCTTGCGCTTCTATGAGTTTGTTCTCTTGTTCACACCATTTCGTGAGAGGTGTGTTAAGTATCTTAGTAAATATTTTGCCGAGTGACGAAGTTAGAGAAATACCACGATAATTATTTGGGACGCCTTTGTCACCTTTCTTATGGATAGGGTGTATAAAACCCGTCCCCCAGTCTGTCGGAAAGACACCCTTATCAAGTATTAAATTAAACAATGTTAGAATGTATCGTAACATCTTAACAATATAGTGTTTATATATTCATTTACAATACCATCTGGTCCCGGGGCTTTAGAATTGGGAAAAGAGTTTATGATTGACAATATTTCATTGCTAGTGATATGCGGAATCTAGAATATGATTCTGATTTTCAGATAAATACAACGAGTCATTACAGTTTACCGAATCTTGAATTTCCATTTCAAATTGACCATCTAAATTTACATCACGTATCATATAGAGATCTCGGAAATAATTGAACCATTGAACTGACACTTTCTGCGGCAGAGTTTTTTCGAAGAAAGTATTTTATCTGTTTTCATAAACCATAGGTATCCTTACAGGTACCGACATAATCAACACGTTATAGCAGTTGTGCTTTTTGCTATTTAAGAATTCCTTGGATTTATATTTTTGTTTTTCCATGGAAATAAATTTGACTTAGTTTTTGGTGTACAATTTTGTTTCCGGAGCATATCTCATAAAACCATTCAAAATATCTTCATGTAACTTTGTACAAACAATAACCTTTTACAGTAGTTGTGCCATTTTCTATTAATGAATTTTTGGGATTTATATTTTTTGTTTTTGAGAACAAATCTGACTTAGTTTTTGGTGCACAATTTTGTTTCCAGAGCATATCTCATAAACCATTCAAGATATCTTCACGAAACTTTATACAAACATTAACCTATTACAGCAGTTGTGCCTTTTGCTATGTAGGAATTTCTGGGATTTATAATTTTTGTGTTTCCTTGTAAACAAATGTGACTTAGTTTTTGGTGTTCAAATTGCTTGTAATAAATTATCTACTTATACATTTATTAGTGTTGCAGATAAGAGGAAACATGAATAAATGTCAGGATTGTAAATTTGTACTAAATCATTTACATGGCAACGTAAATGTCTGCAGTACAATCGTAATGATACTTTGCATAAATACTAGGATATAATATGCCTGTTATTCTGGTATTTGCAATTGCACTATACTTTCATCAATTGGCCCAAAACTTTCTAAGAATACAAAGAGCTATATATATATAAATTGAGCTACAGTCCTCTCCACTTGCAAAATACCTCTATTTGCTATTTAGCCAGGTCTAATTTTTAAAACCAGAGTTTAGTATCATAACTTATCTCAAATCTTCTAGTAAATAGCAATCAGCCATTCGTTTTCAGATATAGAGAGCAATTTCTACTAAACAGGGCCACTGTTTGCGAAATCTAATATAATGATTATCAATAGAATAAAGAAGTTGTTTTCCGTATTCCTTCCAAACAACTGCAAGGGCGCGGGATATTGATGACTAGTCATCTTGTATTTCAATATTATGGCCATGTTGGTTTATCTTTTAAGGTTATCAATTTCAATGTTTATTATAATACTTTCTCCTATGGGTACGACATTTATGTTGTTGTACTTAATGGTAGCTTACAATTTTTGCAGTGATTAAATAGGCAACTTTTGTTACAGCTACATTTCATAGGTCCTTTCCAGTACCCATTTTAGGGTCAGATTTCCCTGTGTTGGGCTAGTCATTCCTTACTTTGTTCCAGTGGGAATGCATTTGGAAGAACTGGGGGGCTCTTATGTAGCCCAATATGAGTATCGTGGAGACTCAGGGAATATAACTATTGGGAGTAGTATAATTTGTATTTTTATATAATTATTGTGATTCTTATTATGTGTATTTTTATATAATTATTGTAATTCTTATGTGTATTTTTATATAATTAATGTTTTAGTTAAAATGTTTTCTAGTCATTTATTTGTTGTCAGTAATAAATGACATTTTACACCTGTTGAGTTCGGTTATTGGGGTAGGAACACAAAAGATGTCCTAAAAAATTTTGACCGAGTTTACAACAATCTGGCGATCTTAGTTGCAAACAAATGCGAGTCACTTCCCTTCAACCACTCGTTTTCTATTTATGGAATTTTTTGATTGGTCGATAAAAGCAGCATTATTATCAAGGGCGAATAATTTGACTATGTGTCTTCCCTATGAATACGAGGATGTATATCCTATTGAAAGGGAGACCCTTTATGAAATCTTGTTAGTACTATAGAAATAGCCGATTGTCAAGTTCCACTGCCACGATAATAAACGGCCTCGATTGTCAGTCCTTTAATTGAGTGACGTCCATTTTAATATTAACCAATTATATGGCACGAATTCTCTTTTCCGTTCAATATAACAGCCGTCCGTTTGTCTGGAGAGTTCATTATGGGTTTGTCATGTGCGAAAATGTCTAAATAATAATTTATGTAACATTTGAAGCTAGAACAAAGACCTGCAATAGGCAGAAGAAGCTATTGCTCAATGCATCTTTAATTTACATAAATGTAATTTAATTATTATCCACTATAAAATAGTTTATAACTTACTTATACTCTTCCGTCAGTAAATCTAATTGGAATGAGAATGCCGCAAGGTAATTCCCTGGAATCATAAGACAGCTCTTAGCTAACTGAAAAAAGTTATCAGGAAGTGTCGTATCTGCATGGAGGAATAACAAAAAACTTCCCTTAGCAAGTTTGGCTCCAGAATTGAGTTGAAAACCTCTACCTAAATATAGAATTGAAAAGAATTTTTAAAGATTTCGATTGCCTTTCTGGTCATAAAAACAATATATATGCACTGGCTGACCAATTCCCTGTGCAGTATAAACTCGAAAGTATAAAGATCCGTTTAAACTGAGCGCGTAGGCAGCGGTGGCATTTGAGTAACAACATTAATACTGAAGGCGAACAGTTCGCGCGAACGATTTTGATTAGCCAATCATTGTGCGAGGTCAAAAGGCACGCATTATCAAATTGTAAATGCGTCATTTCATCAAACGATTTTTATTAGCCAATCTTTGTGTGAGGTAAAAAGGCACGCATTATCAAATTGTAAATGCGTCATTTCATCTGAGTATTACCACGCGTATTACCGCTTTCAGTACGAACGATGATTTTCACGGAAATTTGCACTGGTCAATCGTGGCATTCACGTTCGCACTCAGTATAAATGTGAAATGAAATGAAGTTTAACGTCCTACTGTTCTGCTCCTATACTGGGCTAATGAAGACGGACATACGCCATACAGTGTGCTATGAGGGAAATTTTGCCCGGGCAGCGGCACTATCGCCTACTTTTATATCGAATTCCAACTGCCAGGGGATCTTTTACGTGCATTCCAATATATACATGGGACCTCGGTTTTTCGTCTCATCCGAAAGACTAGACAGCTGTCCTTGCTAGGCCCTCCGTCCTGCATCACTGACAAGAGGGAACCACGCCGGAAAATATGGATGCATTTTCTCGAAATAAAATGAAATTAAATGGTGTTTAACGTCCTACTGCTCTGCTCGACTGGGCTAACGTAATTTTGAGGGAAATTGTGCCCGGACAGAGGCGATACGGCCTACTCTTACATCGAATTCCAACTGCCAAGGGGTCTTTTACGGGCACGTCAATGTGTACACGGGATCTCAGGTTTTCGTCCCATCCGAACGACTAGACAGCTGCCTTTGTCAGGCCCTCCATCGCATCTGTACAGTTATATTTTCTCGGTCCCTTCATTCTGTAGATAAAGAAACGCGGAGTAAGGCTAGGGAATCGGACATGTCTCATTTAAAAAAAACCCATGATTTTTGGAAAAGACTGTCCTATTGTACTGGGTACACGTTTTGTCACTACCAATCCTTTCAATTCTCGGCAACGTTCTATATTTTTATTCGGGCGGCTAATAGTTATGAAGAAGGTGGCTCCATCTTTAAAGTTAATTTGAATCCTCTCCGGAGAATGTTCCCTTCATGACATCGTTCGCGACTGTAATTTGTGTACCATTCATCGAAACTCGAACTGGGCCCTAAACCATGGACTCCCGTATCTCTCTACTCTGGTAAACCAATATCAACTCCAACTTGTTGAAAACTCAAATAGGGACCAGCGAATAGCAGCAAACCATAGCTCTATGTGCGTCCACATAGCCCAAGACTACTGTATCTGTTCCTTTTGAAATCGTGGGCCACAATCACCAATATCCAACTCTCCTATTACCAGCAATAGATCCCTGGGCCGTGCATCTCCGTAACCTCCCTGTCGATCTTCCGGGCTTTCATACTTTAATATCCCCCTGTCTTTTCTTGTGGAAACACCCCTTAATTGAAATACCCCATTGGTCTTCCCCGGTTGCATCTTATACCATGAAGGCTGCTTTCTATCTATGTATGGTAGGAGTCTATCTAAATGGTAGGCTTTAGCATGTTGTTTCCTGGATCTCTTCACCAGGTAGGTAATATCGTCTATTTTTTCTCGTAATCACATATGGTCCCTTCCATTTACAAGTGAGCGTGTGACAAACGCCATCTTTTAGCGTCGCATCATACAGCCACACAGGTTGTCCTACTGCTAAAGAACGTTTAGTGACCTTAAAGTCATAATATTTCTTCTGATAATCAGATTTTTGTTTTAACTGACTTCAAGCTATTACTGCTTCCTGGGTCATAGTTATACGTCTACCTATCACCAACATGTTAGGGGATTGGCCAGTACTGGAATGAATCGAAGATCTGTATGCCACCATTACTTGCTGGAGATATTCACCCCGGTGTCCTTTTCCAAGTTCACAATACATCGTGAGCATAGAGGCAAGCGTTCTGTTGAATCGTTCGACTGTACCGTTGGCTTGGGCGCGTGAAATGTTAGTTCCCGTTTTATGTATCTGTAGAACATCACACATCTCTTGAATATCCCGAATTTGGTTTTTGCCGACAACCTCTCATAAAATGACCTGGTGTATTACAAGTAAAACACGCTATTTTTATAAGTAGTTTGTTCCAAATCTTCTAGGTTCTGCATAATCTGCTTAAAGTCTCTTCTAATCCGTTCCTGGTAGAATTACCCCCTTCTATATTCTTAGGTTCATCGTATTTACTTCAGTGGTTCGGACAGTCGGTAGACTCGTGTAAAATGTCCTGGCAGGACCTCGTAGACAAGCTGCCAAATAAGTAGTTTTGTTCGATGTGACCGATTGCCCAATTCGGCGCAGTCTTCAAAGTATGAAATATATTTTTCCCATCCATCTTTTCCTTGGCATGGTCCAGGTTTCATCGAGAATGTCTGGTCTTGTTCAGGCCTTTCCCTTCTCAGAGATTCTTCAAAATCACGACGTCGTACTAGGACTCTTTCAAGTTTCATTCTGCGATCCATATACATTTCGACCACGTCGGACATCATTTTCTGCTACTGCTGACAGGTCAGTCGCTGGATTCGTATCCGTGGATGCTAATTAAAACTTTAACATCCCACTTATGACACCAATTGTAAGCCACCCAAGCACCATATCTATGCCGATTGGTTCGTTTTGTCAGGCCGATTAAATAAAGTTGTGCCACATTCAAATTTCGTTGTTTTCCCCTCCCATTACGTTTTTGGTCCAGCTGAATCTAGTTCAGACCCAACCTTCGCCTCTCCGAGGGAGTCACTCTTTGAATTCGTTAGTGCTCCTCCTCGTATGAAAATAATTTAAGACGGTAAAAGTTTGCAAGTTCCTGCTACAATAATAGAATGGCTTTTAATTAATCTCGATTCATTAAATTATCATCATTACAACAATGCAGATGAATATATAAGTGAAATCTATAAAAATAGTGGTGTGAGATAACGTCTAACAATGTTCCTACGGGTCTTTCTTTCTAGCGCACTGCGCAGTGTCACACGAACGCTACCCGGTATAAAATATACGATAGCCCATGATCGTCATACTAATATATGAAATTACTAATTTCGTATATTATATTATAATGAACTCGTTAGGATCCTCTCATCTCGCCTTCGGATTTCTAACAAATAGCTGCTTTAAACTGTGTAGACTGTTGTTAAATCTTGATTGCTTAGATAAGTCTTTAACGTAAGACGTTGAGACATTATCTGTCATATTGCCGTCGCGTGGTTCAATTTATAAGCCTTGCCAGGGTGTCGTTTGAACGTCGTGACCAATAAATACTTGCACTTTTTAAGGCCTGTTCGGCACAATATTCGTACATATAACATGATTCCCCCACTGTGAACTTGACCTTTTACACCAATCACTATTATATACATATTGTGACTAGGAATATTAAATTTGAACTAATATTAAACATAATGATGAAACAAATAAAAACATCAACAAAACTTCACAATAACGCGTCATGCGTGGTGCGATATAGTCCCTATGCCAATCCTTATTTCCAGTAACATAAATTACGTATTACAAAACTAAGTTGTACAATGATGTACAAGTTATTCCTAACACAACAATTATTTAAATAAGCTTCTTAACTGCATGTCTAAGCCATGTTCATGAATACGATTACTAGATATGCCGATACTTCTACGACGGCGGATGACGACGGGTCATGAATGAAATAACGTTACTTCATTTGACCTTTTTTTACTAACAATGTGCACTGATAAAACTCTTGTGTTGGATCTCAACACAAGGACTTGTGTTAAAAATATTCTACACAAGCTTGTGTTGTTTTACATTGCATTAACAAAAGTTTGTGTTCTTTTCAATGTCTTGACACAAACTTGTGTAGATTTATCAAATCTGTTGTGCTTTTTTTCATATAATTAATTACGTCGAATTGTAACATAACATTTATTATGTTACTTTATTATCTGTAATGATATGATTTTTATTTATTGAGGAAATCTGAATGGGATTCGGGATCGGGCTTAGCCTATATGTAAAACCACTGTTCCTGCATTTGAATGTCGAGGAATCCACTTAATCTTTTTAAAAATATTTTTAATTATCTAAAACCTTATATTAATTAATTATTACAAACATTAAGTAGAAATCGCCATGTATGTATAGTGCGATACATTTAATATTTCTTTTAAAACAACGCATTTTTTATCAATATACTTATATAAAGAGGTCGAAGTTTTAGTCAATTATTATATAATTATAAACTATTTATTTAATTAGACATAATAAAAGAAAATTATTATCTAATTATAAACTATTTATTTAATTATACATAATGAAAGATTATTCTGATTCTACTCTTTGTATATTCTCACATTTTGCCTCAGACAATACAATAGACAGGTTATTACAATGTCTGCATTTGGAAGTGTCTGATTGATATCGCCCAAATAAAATTGACACATCAAAGTAAATTGTCGTAGGATGTGAAATTAAAATTCTATTACTTACTTGTAAACGACCAATGAAAATGAATTACTCAAAAAACAGGAAGAAATATTTATTGCAGTATTTTGCGATATTAAACCCTATTGTACTACAGAAGTTAACTGTAGGCCTATTCTTAAGCAGTGTGGTAATTCCTTCCTGGATTAGTATCGATTAATTACATAGTCCGGTGTTAGAACCAACTAAAAAAAGTGATATTGTTGTGAAAAAAGTATGTTCAGAAAACAAGAATATCAGGTTTGTGATTTTTATATTATGTAATACAATGTATTTATAACGCATATTTTGCGTTTCGGTTAAAACAAAATCAACGTCCACTTTAATTGGCCGAAGGACGTGTGGCTAATAGTAATATGGCGGACGGACAAACTGA